ATCTGTTGAAGGTGAGGAAAAAGCCCCATTTGTTTATCAGTACTCAGGCTGGTAACTAAGAAAGAAAAACTCTAAGCAATTATGTTAATACTCTGTAGGACTAAATCTGATAATTGTTTGTACAAACTATCCAGGAACTGCATGCATCAAGCCTAAATTTCATGGAGGAAAAGGGAGAATTTGAATCTGATAAACTTTATAGCCTTCAGTGAAATATGACTTGTACTGCAGTAAGCCAACTATAATGGATGCCTGCTATGCAGATTGCATTTCACCAGTGCTGACTATGGGTTCCTAAATATAGCATTACCCAAAATCCCTGGGCAGGGTTAATGGGGAAGTTAAGATTATCTGGGAGACCCTTAAACTTTAAGAAACACTGCCCCACACAAAGTTGGTTATGAGTCTCTGCTAACATTAAAACTCTAGGGATTGTGTGGGACCACTGCTTCTATACTAACCTTCTGCTACATGGTAGACCCCTTAACAGAGATCATTGAGCCTCTAAATGGGTTGATGTTGAAGTTATCCAAATTATTAGTGCTACAAAATGTTAATGCTTTTTCTGGGCATGGAAGCTCATGATTACCCTGACAACCATGGATCTGATAGAAGTAGTTATGGGATCAACTTACAGAACTGGTCAATACTCATTGTAGTAGTTTTTATTTAACAACATTATCTAGAACTGGGAGGCATCACCATCATTTCTTGCAAATCACTCCATGTTTATATTAAGTTTTCTATAACCACTTCTTGCTATTGGATCAATCTGTACCAGGAATTCAGTGAACTATTTGGGGTTTCAAAAGGAAGTTTGGGGTTATTTCTGAGGCTTTGATGTTCATTACTGAACATCACTGATATTCATCTAAGGTATCATTGTTTGGACTGAGGGGACAGTCATATCCTTGGACTGAATCATGCCTTTGCAGCCTCTCTCTGTCCTTAGGTAGATGAAAGCTCCTTGATCCTCTGAAGAGCAAAAGAAAAAGCAGAAGGGGAACCTGGAACACAGCTGGAGAAAGACAAGGAGTTAATCTAATCAACACAGGTAAGATCCTTTCTTAAGAATTATCTTGTGGCAGTGAGAGCAGCAAAACACAATTTTTCCATTCCTGTTATATATGGCGACAGATCTCCAATGGTCTTGTTCAGGTTAACCCAATCATCCCTGGGAAAGAAAAGACCTCTGTGAAATGCTACCTTGAGTGAAGAAAGTTTACATCCAGCTTTCAAAGAGACTGAGGTTCAACCCTTCTCAAGAAATCTTCCCTAGATCTAACAATACTGCACAATTTTCATTTGGTCTCTACCCTTCCTTTTGGGGAAAGTTTGTTCAGAAGATGGCTGGCTTGAAGCTTCAGCGAGTTCTGGAGGAAATGGATTATCTAGAACCCTTCTAGTCAAGCTTTAGACTGGGATAAGTACAATATATCCATTGTGGCCCTTCTTGAACTCTTGGTGCTTTGGTTACTATTGATAGACACTGGCTTTGAGGTTTAATAGTGAGAAGTACAGCATTGTGTTGGTTCTCCTCCTTCTTCCACAATCATTTCCAATTAGTGTTGAAAGGGGAGAAAAGATCTTGCTTTATGGAATATCCCAGAGTTCTACTCTTACTTTTGTCTTATTTAACTTCTATATGAAACTGAGCAAGATCACTACAGAATCAGGCATCATCAGTATGTCAATGACACACAATTATATATCTTCACACTAGTCCAACCAAGAGATGCCATCAAGATTCTTTCTGGTGTTTGGAGCCTGTAGGATCTGTTAAGAAAAAAACAGATTTTGCTCAATCTAGCAAAACAGAATGGCTATAGGTTTTGGGTTCCTTGACTCTGGGAACTCTCCACTTTTGGTCCTGGAAGGGGTCATACTCCCGTAAACACAAGTGATACATACTTTGGTGATCCTTTTGGATTCTCAGATCCTGCTGGAAGAAGTGGCAGACTTGGCCAAGAGAAACTTTGCACAAATCCATCTTGTGCATCAACTGCACCTCAATCAGGAGGACATACTGTCACTCCTGCCTTATTCACATCTAGATTGTTGCAATACACCCTATATGGGGCTGTCCCTGAAGCTTTTGAAAACTACCCAGAAATGGAAACTGGTTCAGAATATAATGGAGCTAGTACTTATGCACCCACGTAAAACCATTATTTCACAAATTGTGTTTGCTTCATATAAGCTTCTGGGTGAAATTCAAGGTGTATGACTTGTATGTCTCCAACTGTCTCTGCTTATCCCATGAGAATCAGCAGAATGCACATTCTTCAAACCTCTTCCATAAAACATCATCTAATGGGATTCAGGACCATTCTCTGTTGCAGTGCCTGCCCTATGGAACATCATTCTCCCTGAGGTTTGGATGGCCCCAATCCTTCTATCCCTTCCCAAGACCCTAAAACCTCTCAAATGAGCTATGTATTGGCTGGCCTGAGTTACTCCTGTTACTATAATTATTTCCATTTTTCTATTTTCCTGTTGTTTCAAGTTCAAAGGCACACTGTACCTTATTCTGAGTTCATGAAAATTTTCTTCATAATCGTAAGTCACCCAGTTTGTTCTTGCAAATTGAGTGGCCCTATAAAGCTAATAAAACAGTAGATACAAATAGCATTTCACTACTGTTCTAAGTACCTGTTAGCCTGTGCATAAAACACTTTAGGAAAGCACATTACAACTCTGTGTTCACAGCTTTAGGACATTTTACACATTCTGTATTTGCAGACATTTTTCCTTTTTTATTTATTTGAAGGTTATATATTTCAGTTTCACATTTCCAAATCACTATAACTTCCCCTTCCTTTCTACATCAATAATTAAGCAGTCTACAGCAAACAGCAAGACCTCAGCCTTTGTTTGTTTTCTATGTAAAGCTATCTTCATCTTTATTAGAAAACATGAATTTTACTTTCATGTGGCATGTAGTACTTCTTCATTTTAAAAAAAATCTTTTGCTTTCATCACAGACACAACATTTTTATAGCTTTCTGCTCCCCTAAAGTTACCTGAATGAAGAAGGAGTGAATGGACGGCTGCCTTACAAGATAATTTATAAATCATATAACATTTTGTTTTGAAATCACAATGACTACCCAAGAAAAATATTTGTACCATATCACCTGGGTCAACTGTTAAGCTGAAAATGTAAATTATAATTTATAAACATAATTTACAATTATAATTTCAGGTAAGGGATAAATGAGCAATCAAAATTATATGCCATCTATATGCAGAAAAAAAGTTCAAAGCATTTTTGTTTAGAAAATAAGGTGACGAATGAGGTACAAGGGTTTACAAAATAATGTAAAAATAGGAAGAAAGATTAAGTGAGCATTTCTAAAGTCATGTAATGACACTGTGTGACATTAGTCTCAGGATAGACAAAACACTTCGAGGCAACCAGTTGTGTTTTCAAAAAACAAGGTATGCTAATAATCATTGATTTAAAGGATTCTTAAAAAAAAAAAAAGCTAAACAAATTCATGAAAATGTCAAGGATTTCCAGACAGGCATCTGAGGAGGCCAGCAAAAGGTTTTCTGGTTGGTTGCTGAAGTAGAGAAATCTTTTCCTAGAAAAACAGCAGAGGGCTGTCTGCATACATTTTCTGTATTAAGCAGCTTAGAGAGGCCTGTGTTCCATGCTGACCAAAATGACAAATTGCCTTTTCTGCAACCAATGTAAATAGAAAGGCTACCAGCTTTTACAGCAAGACTATATTTACAAAAGTCTATAACAGTTTGGTGAAATGCCCATGTTCAAAGGTTTTAAGATGTCCAACATAATCAGAATTAATTGACTGACCACATGTAAGTCAAACCTTTTTTTTTTTGCTTTTTAATTCTCTTTATATTGTGTCTCTCCCCCCCCCCCAATAGCAACTCTCCTTATTTTCTTAGATTATATTTTTGAAAAAGAGATTTTAATGAGGGTAAAGGTTCATTCTCCGAGCTTGTGGGTTGGTTTCTGAACGTTTCATTACCAGGCTAGGTAACATCGTCAGTGGAGATTTTAATATTGTGACCTTACAAGTCTCAGTACTCTAGCTCCTTATATCATAGACATCCATATTATTATAGTTCTATAGTTGTCTCTAATACAAGGTATCCTAATTATCAGCAGCTTAATTCTTTTCCTCCTTGTCATGGCTGATGAAGAGATGTCATGCGGTTTCTTGACAAGATTCTTGTGCATTTGACAGACATGTAGTCAGGAAGCCCCCCCCCCCAACCCACACCACTCCCAAGTTCCAGATCTCTTTTCTAAGATATACAGGAATAGGAGTGATTCTCTTCATACCTAGTGCCACCTCCAATCCTGCATCCTGGCTTTTATTTAAACCAGTCCTTGCTTTGCAAATTCTGCCATGGTCCATCCCTCTTCCCCGTCTCTGTAGTACAATTCCTAAGAGTTACCATCCGCAAAAATACTCCAGAATGGAAATGGTGACTGATCTCATTTCCTTGACTGCTTTGCTATTGACTATCAAAGAAAATGAAACCTCCTCGTCCACACTGACACAGACCCATCTCTTCTCTTCTCTTCCCTAGATTTCGACGCATCAGGTCCCCGTCCCCGCCCCACTAGTTATGCCCTGCTCTTGTCCACGCAGGTTTTCAGTTCCTTACCGTCCGCGATTCAGCCCGGGATTCCCCTCCTTCAGGCCCAGACTTTGCCCCTTCGCTTCTCCCCTTTGCCCCTGCCCGGCCTGAAACCCAAATTGCGCCCAGTTCAAGCCCATGCCCACCCCTTCCAGAACTTCAGGCCTTTCTCCCTACTCGGTGGGGAGGACAACTGGCGGGTGTCCCCATTCGCTTTTTCCCTCTCTGCCCCGGCTCTGCGCTCCCCTCCGAAACCCCTCGATCGCCTGTTTTCGGGGACCCCCCGACCGCCGACGCCTCCTCTTCCTCTACCCCGCCGCGCTCCCCACCGCGCTCAGGAGGCTCCCCGGTTCCCATCGGCGTAAAGCAGCAACGGCGATTACCGGGGAGGATCTGCAAGTGGTTTCCCATGTTGTTATCCTGTTCTCCGCCTCCTTCATCTGCGGCCATCGCTGTTTACCCGGAGAGGAGTCTGGGAAGGCGCCGCCGGCAGGGGCGGAGGCGAAGGCGGAGGAGGCGGAGGCCCCTGAGAGAGGAGCTTGGCGGCTCCCGCTGCTGCCCCCAGCGGCTCGCCTCGCCCGAGAGCTTCCCGCTACGGTGCATCTCCCAAGAGTGGAAACAGCGGCCGTGTCTAAGGCAGAAGGCGAGCCGGAGGTTTGCCCGTTCCCTTTCCAGATGCCCTTCTTTGGACTGGAAAAAAGAGCAGCCGCGGAGGTCCTTTATTCTTGCTAGCAGTCAATGGGCGCAGTCTTATAAACCCTGCAAACAGCTGTTCGCGGATCGCTTCTCACGGGTGCTGCAGTCCCTGAAAATGGAAACCAAGCAGATTCCGCTCTAGTTTTCTACCTGGGGGGTGGCGGGGTGGGTGGAGGGTTGCGGCCCCTCCCTCTTTGTAATCAGAAATGTTGGGGTAAGAAAAGGTGAAAAGCATCGAGGCTTCCAAAGTTTGACTGGTTCTGTTTATGTTTGATTCATTGATTGATTTATATATAGTGGCCTAAAGAAATATTATATACCATTTCTTAACCGCCCATCTCCATCGGATAAAGTGTTTAAAATAACAAGAGTTGGAAGGGACCTTGGAGGTCTTCTAATCCAACCCCTGATTTAATAAATTGTAACTAAAAAAAGTCTAGATTTTTAAAGGCTAGGCAAGATTAAGCTGTTGCGTTTTGGAGGCTGTGATGCAACGAGTGAAGGTCAGAAAAATTGCTGCTGAATCTGTGGAAGCAGCAGAATTGCGAGATGGCTGAGTATGTCCGGCCTGCAAGTTTGGAAAATGGGCAGTTTTGCATGAGGTCGTCTTCCCTCCAAAGGAAAAAGGACATTATGAAGGATTCTATGGAATGGTCCAATCTTTTGCAAAAGGCACAGAGGAAGAAACATGGGAAGGGAAGCCGGGGTTAGGATGGTAACTTTAATTGCAAACCTTCTGTCTTGCACATTTTGACTCCTCCGCAGATACCTCTGTGCTTGGTGCCATTTTGATTGGTACATCTACTGATATCATGGGAGTGGGGAAGCTGGCTCTATATTGTGGCTGGTATATCAGCTAAGAAGACAACCCAGTGTCAGTGGTCCAGACTGTCATCTTGATTGGATTGCTGCAATGCACTCTACAAAATGGCCTGAAGTTTGCAACAGATGCAATGTGCACCTACCCAATTATTAAGTGACTACGTTGCTTGCAGGGTGGCAGACCAAATTTTAATCTTGCTATTAGTCTATAGATCCCTAGTGGTTTAATACTCAGATATTCAAAAGATCCCCCTACCCAAATCACCCAACACATGCAGTAAGTATGAATGGAGAGGTTCTGCTTATGTTCAATCAGTAGATTTAGATTTGGCAAATAATGACTAGGAATAAGGACTTTTCCATGACATTGCCATAGGTATGGAACTCCTTCATATGAGATGATCAAATTCTCTCTTACTGTGATACCTTTCCTTGAGAAAGGAAGGCATAACTGTTCACTTGGTACTGATGGGATTCCTATTGCAGGTCCACCCTATTTATTTTGGGTTAATGATACTGGAAAAAAAGGATACCTTGATTTAAGTCTTAAATGTCAAGTTCTTTCATTTTCTAAAAATCCCATGATCTATCAATAATGTTACCAAAAAATGCATTAAAGAATTTTACTGTTTTTAAAAAAACAGAATTTTATGTAATGATGTAGTATTTTCCAAGGTTAATATAGAGCCTAATAAAACAATACATTAATACATTTATCTGTCCTTTCCATTTGTCAATCTAAAAGTGCTCTTGCATCCTTTTTCTAAAATAGCATGAATTAGAATAACTCATTAGCAAGGAAAA